CCACAGTGTGAAAGCTGCAATCATAAATCCCCACTGCCGCAGATAAGCAACTCCTGCATAAATCCTTATCTGCCACAATGACAACAACAAAAAAAAAAAAGAAAGAAAAAAAGAAAGAAAGAAAAAAGAAAGTGTGGCATTCCTATTTGATGAAGCACTACACAGCTGTCTTGGTAACAACATGAATGGACCTAGACTTTATGCTTAAACGGAAAAGTAACACTGTATGACTCATTCACGGACTGCATCTATTTGGCCACATAGAAAGTACAGGTAGGGAAGTGACCTCAGAATAAAAAGGGGAGGAGGATAGATAGGGAGAAGTTGATCAACAAAGATCCAAGTATATAGAAGGGCGAGTATAATAACAGTTATTATGTATTCCAAAACCGCATAAGGGGATTCTGAATGCTCTAACCACAATGGAACAATAAATACACAAAGTGACAAACTAGTCACTTCATTTGATCATTACAACATGTACACAAATATTCAATACTTAAACTGTACCCCCCATCTACATGTGGTTATGATGGGTCAAATTAAAATTATTATGACAATAAGATTCAAACCTCAGACTAGTCTTGAGCCCTAATGGCAGGGCTCAAGGCAGAGGGTGCTGGCAAAAGTTTAACAACTGTCTCTGCCTTGCAGCCATCCACATTTCTGTGATATGAATATCCCCTCTGGTTTTAACGTATCAACATGACAGCAATAAACAGAGTTGGTGGAGCTGGAGAGATTGCCCAGCAGTTAAAAGTACTTGCTGTTCTCCCAGAAGACAGACTCAAGTCCCAGCACCCACATAAAGGCTCACAACCACCTGTAACTCCAGTTCCAAGGCATCTGACACCCTCTTCTAGCCTCTGTTGGCACTGGGCACATGCATGGTACACGGGCATACAGCCAGGGAGATGCCTATACTCATAAAAAAGTTAATAACTCACGAAATAAACTGAGTCAAAAGAGAAAGGCAGAACTGGCTCTCCCAAGCAGGTACACGTGAGAGCAAGCACATCATTTGGAAGTGCGGGCCTCTGAGCTCAATTATCTGGGCTTAGCCCAGTTTCCTAAGTGCTGAGGTGGGAATTCCACGGATGGAGAGAGACTGATGCAGAAAACCAACATCAACCTTTATACGCTGCTTCGAGATTCTGTGGCCACCTCTGGTCTTAGTACTTCCTTCTGCGAAGTGAAGGGCATATTGCCAGGCTCTGTTCGGCCTTTTGAAGTTAAGACTATACGCTTTGGCACAGGCTATGATCCAAGCGCTTTGCCAGCCTCAGACAGCATCTCTTCTACTGCCCTTTGGGCTTTTCAGGATACACAAATGGTCTTGTACACGCCATATCCAAGTGCAGCTTAGTTTCTGTCAACTTAGCACTAACTAGAGACACCTGGGAAGACAGCCTTAACTGAGAAATGGCCTCCATTGGATTGGCCTGTAGGCGTGTCTACGGGGTATTTTTTTTGGTTAATGATTGATATGGGTATATGGTCCTGGGTTGTATAAGAAAGCCATCTGAACAAGGCAGTAAGCAGCAGTCTTCCATGGTTATTTCTTCAAACTCCTGCCTTGAGTTTGTGCCTTCCCTCAGTGATGGACCATACCCCTTTTCCTAAAATAAGCTACTTAAAAACCAAGTGTGGTGGCACACATCTTTAATCCCAGCACTCAAGAGGTGAAGGCAGGAGGATCTCTGCATTCAAGACCAAGCTAGCCCATATCAGGGGAGAGTGTTTATAGGATAGTCAGGACTATGTAGAGAGAGATCCTGCCTCCAAAACAATTGAACAAACAATAAGATAAACCCTTTCTTCTTCCCCCAAGTTGCTTTTGCTTCATGTTGTAATTGTTGTAACAAGGTCTCATTTTGAAGTCCTTGCTGGCCTGGAACTCACTCTGTAGACCTGGCTGTTCTCAAACTCAAAGAGATACAGAGGTCTGCCTGCCTCTATCTCCTGAGTGCTGGGATCAGAGGTGTGCATCACCATACCAGCTCCCGAGTTGTTTCTGGTCAGTCAGTGTTTTATCACAGCAAAGGACACCAAACTAGAAAAAGCCTTTTGCAGAGATATAATCGTGAGGGATAGCCTAGGCTAATGTAACTCCTGGACGTAAAAAAATGCCTTAAAATCCACAGAACTCACACGAGGTTTTCCCACTGCAGAGAAATTGGAGGCACCAGAAAAGCGATAGCTGGGCTTTGGGGCAGACTTTATTACAAGAAATACGGCTTTCTCTGTTGTGCCTTCAGATATACTCCACCAAAAGGTCGCAGGAACACGTTGGTGTTCACCACAACCTGAAATGTTAGGGCTATGGGAAGGAATCGGGAGGAGTACGGGAGGGACAAGGCTCTGCAATGCTGTCTCTGCAGCCCTAAAGAAAGGGTTCTTCATCCCACGAGCATCTCAAGGGAAGAGCAGTTTCAAGCACAGAACAAAAGCCAACATGTCCCCTGTTCCCCTTCATCCTCTCTTCCAGCTGGAGAAATATGCAGTTTTTCCTGCGAGAATAAAATAAACCAGCAAAAAGAAGCAAAGAGCCAAAAAAAAAAATATGTCCTAAAAATTAATGTACATAGGATCTTATTTTCCTTCTTCTGTCCAAATCTCACTCTCAATTATTTTAAAGATCTTGGTTACGGACTGTTCTGAAACATCCCATAAGCCTATTGATTATATCCTGGAAAGGTCAGAACAGAGCAGCCATGTTTTTTCTTGATCTCTACCTTTCGCTTTCCAAGTGAACTGAGCTAAACTCATTATGAGGAGTTTTATGGTATCCGCATACCCCCATGTAAACACCTGACTGATTTCATTGTCTTCTCAGGCCATGAACCTCAATCCCAAATTGCCAGAAGGGTGCGTGTTCTCTTTGACTGCTCACAGTCACAGGCCACACACACACACACACACACACACACACACACACACACCAGGGGATTTTGAGTGTTTGTTACCATTTCAAAGGCTGTGGCCATTGATCCCGATATTGCTCAATTTTCCAATAAAGATCTTAATCACTCCAGCACAAATTAGCAGACATACTTGACGAAAGGTGCTAATCAGCTCTTGACTAAAGGTGCCTGTAGGCAACTCCATATCAAGTTGGAGAGGGAAGGAGGCCCCCAGTGGGATAGTGTACCACTTCTTAAATATCTCTGCTTCTTTTTCTCAGTTATAAAATCATTACCTCCCTGTCAAGGCTACCACCGAATGCATCTATCTCCTGATGGAATTTCTTTTTTCCTTGGACCATAGCTTTTAAGATAATGAGTACACAGCTTTAACACTCAGGAAAGTCAGGGGACTTAGTGTCACAGAAATGCCACCCTCTCACCTAGGGCTGTATCACTTCTTTTTCCTGACTGTAGAAACACCCTGTGGCACCCTTGAACATTCTTCTTGGGAGTATAGATTACAGTAGAGTTTCTAATATCTGCTTTTTTTAAAAATACTTCCTATTTCTCAGAAATAAGGGGGTGCAGAAGAGTGAAGTCTGAAGGTTTTATAATTAGGTACTGTCTTCAAAGTGGCCTTTACCATTCCCTCGGCTTCCCTTTGCCATCCTCAAAATGGGGAGAAAGGAATCTGATGCTTCTCCCCCATTCTTTGGTGGTGAATGAAGGCTTTGCTCCCTGGAGAGGTGGCCGACGGAGCTCAGGTTGAGCACTGGTGGAGGGAGGGTGTGCTGACTAGTTTGGTGTCAACCTGACACAGCTGGAGTTAGCTGAAGGGAGGGAACCTCAATTGAGAAAATGCCTCCATAAGATCTGGCCTCTAGGGCATTTTCTTAATCAGTGATTGATGGCAGAGGGCCCAACCCATTGTGGTTAGTGATGGTCCTGGGTTCTATAAGAAAGCAGGCTAGGCAGCCCTGACGAACAAGCCAGTCAGCAGTATCCCTCCATGGCCTCTGCATCATCTCCTGCCTCCAGGTTCCTGCCCTGTTTGAGTTCCTGTCCTGACTTCCTTCAGTGATGGATAGAGATATGGAGGTGTAAGCCAGATAAACTCTTTCCTCCCCAGCTTGCTCTTGGGTCATGGTGTTTCATCACAGCCATAGAACCCCAAACTAAGACAAGTGGGGAAGGTCCACATTCCTGGAAAATTTAGAGTCTAGGCGCCAAGATGAAGCAAGCCTGGACCAAAAGTCCAGAGACAATCCATTCGCTTACATTTCAGGAAGACTCCAGTTCCTTAGCACAGCTTTATGCCCAACGAATGACAAGACAACGAGGTGGTCATTTTACCCAGTGTCTTATCTTTATCTAATAATAGCGACAATATTACACTTTTCAAAAGCCAGATGTGAGGCTTGATAATTTGTTAGGTTGGATTACAAATGTTCAAAAAGCCTGGGGGGGGGGAGGGAGATTTTAACTCATATTACTATCATCTCAATTTTCTCCCATTCAACAACTACCTAGAATACAAAATGAAAAAGCTAGAGTTTTACAGATGTCTCTTGAAGTTTAGTATCTCATCCCATGGTTCCCTTTTTCTCCAAGAAGCTTGGATCCCACCATCAGAAAATGTCTTTCTGACCCAGGACCAACAAGGTTGATCTCCCTTATGCCAAAGCCTATCTTTGCCTGCCTTCTCTGAAACTTCTCTTGGTTAACTTATTTCAACCAATGATCTACTATAAATACATTCTTCTCCTTCACATTTTTCTTTCCACCAGCTAAAGAGGCTGCTAACTTTATAGGCATGAGATGAGACATAATTAGTTTGTCTTACAAATCAGTCTTTGTCTAGAATTTCACGTCTTAGTGAAAATGGTGGCCAAAGAAAATCCCTTGGTGAGTCCTTGATCATCAAGACATCAGACTTCCCAGCATCCCTTTCAGGCTGAAGACTGTGCCTTCACCATTTTGAAGTGGAAAAAAAATTAACTATTCAATGTCCTCGACTCTTCACAGTAAAAACATTGTTTTAATATAAGTTCCATTTTCTTAAATCATCCTAGTGCAAGGCATAGTGGTGCTTACCTGCATTTCCAGCACTTGGGCACGGGAGCAGGGTCATCAGGAGTTCAAAGGTCATCAGGTCAACCTCAGCTACGCTACATATAAAATTTGATGCCAGCCTGGTCATCGTGGCACCCCATCTCCAAAACTGCAGAAAGGAAGAAAAAAAGAATGGACTATTCCTATAGCTAATTCTGAATCTTTTCAGCATTAAAGCATGCTTTGCCATTTTAGAAATCCCCTGTCTGAGGAAGTAGACTTTCCTAAAATGACTCTTCTCAAATGATTGTGAAGATGCTTTCTTAGTGAAGTGTCAGTCTTTGTGAAACTGTTCCCTTGTCCATGAACACCAACTGCCTTCTCACCCACAGCTCTGTTAGGACACCCGGGGTGAGAGTAAGAAGTACCTTGGCACTGCCATCAACATGGAGAGGTCACCACTGAAAGCCTGAGGTCATAGGGGGCATTCCCCTGCAGCAGTTATTCTGTGATCACTTCCCGGGCCTATCTCTGCTCTGAAGATTTAAAAGTCTTCCCTCTTCTACTAACCCCTGGCTGAGAGAGAGAGTCACTTCCTTCTATGTACTCCCAAGTACAGAGTAGGAGTACTCCCGAGTACAGACGAGGAGTGCTCGCGAGTACAGACTAGGAGTGCTCTCCTGAGCCCTAGAGGCCAATGGGCTCTGTAAACCTCAAGATGCTAGACAGAATTACAAGCTCATCAAAGTCTTTTATCCCAGACTAGATAAGCTTTAGTCGATCAAGTTCAAGCCTGCATCCCACTGACCTGAGCCCACCAGTTAGGAGCCTGTCCTGAGCCCACCAGTTAGGAGGCAGCAAAAGAAACTCAGGAAAGACAGGTTACAGAAACAGAAAAACAAAAATCTGTTTTTCTTTGAGCCAAAACTGTCTGGATCTTCCCTCGCCCTTGGAATCTAACTCCCCAGGCACTCAACAGACAAATGCGTTCTGAACTCTTTGGACTTTTTGGGAGTGGAGCACCTGATAAAAACACCATGATGCGATGGATTCAATTTGTATCATAGCATCTAGCTCTGAGTATGAAAGGAGTTTGTGGTCTCATTCTCAGAAGGTTGATGTTCCAGGGCAAGATTTCAGCATAATTTAGAACATTGTCTTTTCTAGGAGTCAATTTTCTGTACTTGAAATATAGTACAAATAACTCCCATGCTCTGCCGCAGGTGGGTGAATAATCCATCCAGCTTTGGTGGAAAGTGTGTAAGCTCTCTTTAGAAGAACTCGTTTATTTCTTAATGTCCCCAAGGCAGAACCTCCCAAGATAAAGCTGATTCTCTTCCTGTCTCTGGTAGAGCCGACATCATGTTTATAAAATAAATTATCTAAGCCGAAAGAGTTTCACTGGGTGATTTTAGAGGTTTGTGTACTTCACATTCTAAAGAAGAAAGCTGTTTAAAGATGTTGATTTCTGTCTCCAACCATCATTCATGAGACATTCTTTGGAAGTGTGAGACTTTCCAGGGCGCTAGGTTTCAGCACAAAAGGATGTGATGGATAGAGATGAGCAGGAAATGACCCCTGTGCATCGGGACCTTAAAGGCTTTATAGGCCCATCAACCAGACACTAACTACCAAGAGCACCCAGCAAAGACCAGGACAGCTCCTAAACCTAGCTGCATACAGAAGTAATTTGAGAAATTGATTAAAAAGAAAGACCCTTGGGCAGGGAACTTATCTCAGTGGCAGAGACTTTTTTGCTGGTATTCACAAGGTCCTGGGCTTTGTCCTCAATATGATCAAAATAACAACGATAATAGATCCTGACCTCCATCTACTAGGACCACATCTACTGAAATTGGAAGAACCAGGGAATGTTTATTTATATAAATAGCACCCAAAATTCGGAGATTCCGCCAGGTAGGGGCTTCACTGAGGCATTAACTGTATTCGAATGGCGCTGGTAGTCCTTCCCACAACTGACAAAAGCGTTCTTCACACTCAGAGGCCAGGTCAGGAGGGTAGGAGACGGGAGCAAAGAGGAAAACAGGAGAGCAACAGAGAGTGGACCGAGAGAGCACCCGGCCAGAACGGCAGGGTTCTGTAGGAGTGAGAAGCCTGAGAAGTTTGGAGTGGGAGGCTGGGTGAGGAGAGTTCAGAGGTGCCAGGATGGACTCTGTAACAGGTACTTGCAGAGAGAGCCTGGAGGCTAGCCTGGCACAGTTAGCCATTGGTCTTGAGTTTCCTTTGGGGCTGCTTCCTAGGCCTGATCTGCTTCCCACCGCTGCAGCTCCTAAGGACACAGCCAGCAGGTGACCTGTACTCATGGTCTGTCCCCAAGTCTGCTTGCTAGGGACCCTCACCTCTCACTTGGTGCACACCAGGGATGCGTTAGAAATGAAACACAAACTCATCTACAGAAAATCTAGCTTGGTTTTGCTTCACAAACTTGCTTCTGTTTTTGTTGCTCTGGCCTTTAAATCATGTCACTGGCTTCTCAACATGGATACCGCAGTAAACGTCCCCCTCCTTATTTCAACACTAGCCCCACCTCTGATTTTCAACACAGCTATGGTAGACGGTCCAGGTGCTCTGACGGTAGCTGAGGCTGACAGACCCAGATTCTAAGGAGCAACCAGACTTCCACCCATAGATGCTGGGGCTTTCAGAGATGTGAGGGCCCTGACACTGGGCTCTGACAGCAGAGCCTGGAGAGATGGTGCGTTCATGCCAAAGAGGACTGAGAACCAGCTCCCTGTCCTTCGAGCAAGTCACCAGCGCCACAGATCACTCCTCTGTCCTTGCCACCTGTTGTGTGATCTGACGTCGGCTTCCCCCTCACCGTCCCATCCTGTGATTCCTTTCCTGGATGCATCCTCAACCCACGACCCCAAGTCCTTGTTCTGAGGCTCTGCTTCCAGGAAAACCCACGTGAAGACAGATGCAGCTACAATTTTTAAAAACTCAAACTGAGAAAATTGAAAAGCATTTTTAATAAAAGTCTCAGGTCATGCATGCTGGCACAAGCTTTTAATCATCCCAGGACTCAGGAGGCAGAGCCAGGTGGGTGGATCTCTGTCTGAGTTTGAGGTCAGCCTAGTCTACACAGTGAGTTCCAGGACAACCAAAGCAACATATCAAGGCCCTGTGAAAGAAAGAAAGAAAGAAAGAAAGAAAGAAAGAGAGAGAGAGAGAGAGAGAGAGAGAGAGAGAGAGAGAGAGAAAGAAAGAAAGAGAAATGAGGCTCTTCCCCAGCACTCTCGAGTCAGACGTCTGTGTACTCAGGGACACTGTAAATAACTGTAGTCAACCCTTACCAGTCTATGTACTGCGGCTGAACCTCGGGGGTCTCTTCGAAAGACTAGTCTGAATACATTCAAAATCTGAATGGAAGTGGACGATATGGCTCAGCCAACAAAGTGTCCACTGCCAGGCCTTACAACCTAGGTTCAAGCCCTGGAGCCCCATGGTAGGAAGAAACCAATTCCAGGAAGTTGTCCTCTGACCTCCACATGGGAGCTGGGGCACACACACACACACACCACACACACACACAGACACAATAAATAAGTACATTTTAAATGAAAAAAATTAAACAAATGTCTATAACAGTTTTGTTTACTCGTTCAACAAATTTTTGGTTAATTCTTCTATGTGCACAGCAAAGTGTTAAACACTGTGCTATTAAAGCTGTGCCCCAGGCCCTAGGATGCTCACAATCATGGGCAGATTCAATTTCTCAAAAGCATATTGATTGAACAAATTAAGGTTCACCTATTTCCACAAACACATTATGGGATTTTGAAATCAAGTGCTGTATAGAGTTTTATTCCTTGAGACAGGATTGGCTCTAATACAATATTCTCCTGCCTTGGTCTCCCCAGTACAGGGAGCACAGGTACGCACCATTGCCCAGGTTTTAATTCGCTTGTCCCCGGGTGCTATGCACAGGTGATGAGTGAAACCCTGGATTAAATCACAGCTCTGCCAGTGAGCAGAAGTCTGCCCCTGGGCCTTGTTTCCCAGTCCACACATCAAGAGTAACAACAAACATTGTAAGTGGTTGTGAGGATAAAATACAGTGGAAGTAGAAGACTTGGCATTGTAGCTGGCCCAGGGTAAACATTCAACAATTTTATTTAACAATGGTCATTCTCACCTAAAAGTAGCCTCAGGCCCACCATGTATACAGTCTGGAGCCAAGCACCATGCAAATTGGGCAGAACAAATTAGAACTCAATAAACAGGCCCTGGGTTCTGGTTTCCGCCCAGCACGGTGTCAACAATTTAGAGTCCCGTCATGAAGAGAACATCACATTCGCCTGGTCGTTCTCTGCAGACAGAGAGACTGGGTTCACCTGCTAATCCGAAGCCCCTGCAACATTCTGCACAGGTGCTAACTGTGCCACAGGGAAGGTAGCCCCAAACTCCAAAACAAGAAAGAATCTGTCTTGTGCAATATTTACAGCCCCTGTAGAGAAGATATAAACAGAAGAATGCAAAGGTGATCTACTTGGTGCCTGTGCAAACATCTTGCAGGCATGGAGCATTCCCTCGTGTCTCAGTTCCTCAAGAAGTAATACATCAGGCTCTATGTTCACCAAGACACACTGCCCTTAGGATATGTGCAGTCCGTCCCATAGCAGACCCTCCACCCCGATGCTCAGCAAACATTTCTCGCCCATCTGGGTGACTTAGCCCTCCCTCCACTCTTTTCAAAAGAAGGGGGTGGGCAGAGAGTGGGCAGAATATTTTGGACAGTGTATCACCTTTGAAAACTAGATCTTTGTCCCCAAAAAAGTTTTCTACTCTTTTTTCTTGTTGGTAAAGTACTGAGAAAGAGAAGGGAGAGAGAGAATCAATCCTCTTGTTGTAATGTGCATCTACCGGGAGGAAGGCGAGGGTGGATGAAAGAGCAGAATGTCTGCGACTCTAGGTGCAAAAGATTACAAAACTAAAATTTAAAAAGAATACTAGAACTAAATTAGAAACACCAGGCCCAAATTCTCCAACATAATGGTTACCAGCTGATTCACATCTCGGGTCATATTCATTTTCCAGTTTATCTCAAATCTTACCATTCAGCACTTAATATTCAACCTACGACTGAGCCATGTGTCATTGCCACTTACCACCACACTCTACTGATTATTATTGGTAAAATTGGGAAGA